GCGCACGCACGCGCATGTTCTACGGTCTACCTGCACAGTGCACACACGCTATCTCTACATCAACCTGCGTCTGCGATAGTACCATTCGATAACTGATGTGAGCGATATCGATAAAAATCGTTTGGTGATCAACAGAAACACACATCTTTATCAGTGGTTCGACTATTTTGATAACTCAAGTTAGTATTGGTTACATGAGCTAAGTTATCGCTAAAAATCGTTTGGTGGTCGTCTTGGTAACTTGGGTTCATACTTGCTGATCGACAGATAACGCTACACTGATAGCTTGACCAATTTATAACTTTATTTAGTATCGACTGGATAAACTAACTAAGTACTAGAGCGAGTGAAACGACAAAATCGTTTGGTGATTCGATCATGGAAAATCGGACCAAACCTCGTTGATCGAGAGATAACACGATACAGGTAGTTCGAATATCTAAACAAATGTGATGAAAATTAGTACTGGTGTTGAAAATGACCAATTCCTTTTGATTCAAACAGACACGATAAAATCGTGTACAGGTTGGATGCCTCGTTTGACCTTTAATTTTCTCGTCCATATACCCATATGAGTCTTAGAGCTGTGCATGGAACGTGTCAATCAAAGTAAAGGATGTGTCGGTACAATACTAGAAAGAATTGCACTGTTGACGATAGTGGCATCTGGCGCTGGCGTCACCAGACTGGAACCCATGACATTGCTTGTTTGGTTTCACCTAAGGGAGTAATCTATAGTTTCACTTCTCGTCGCACTACCAACTCACCACATACGCATTTTACTACATATAAACAAAAATTGCTAGTCAAGATAAATAAGGGTTGGTTTTTCAAAATTGAGGAGTCCATCTAGGGGGATACTTATTTAGGACATGTAGAACAATTTGAAGCATTTTCCTGGAATTTAAAAAAAGTAATATTTTTTAAGCTTATTTTGCTTAGAACTTATTAGTGAGTGAAGAATACACATTTCAATTTTAAGAAATTAAAAAGGGGACATGTATTTATTTATTTGATTTTATAATCAGTTGAATTATAAAATCTTCATACAAATGCTAAACTCTAACTCACTATCATTTAAAACTCCAAATTACTAGTGAATTGTTTAGCATTTTTTTTTACTATCAAAACTATATTTTACATATACCAGAAATCTTAAGATATAGTGTATTCGAATTCACATAGATCAAATCAATATGATTCATTTACAAACAATAAAGAGATTAATGAAAAAGATTCAAATACAAACTTCATTTTAGTGAGTAATCAAGGGTTATAATCTAAACTTTTCAATAAATGTTTAAACCACTTCATAATGTGCTTCAAACAGACAGATTGACTGATTGGAATGAATTACTATTGTTTGATATAACAACAAATCAAGAGTATTAAATGTATTATATATTCCGGATTCTTTGCTAATGTGTACGTAAAATTAAGAAAACATAACATCAAATTTCAATTGTTACTATTTCATATTTATTTTCAAACATTTTACATACAGAATGTTCATTGTACCAGAAATTACGACTGGTTTTAGTATGTGCCATAGATACAGAGTGTATATACGTTGGCAACGGTAAGTGCTATTTTATTTTCTATTCGAATGGCTCGTGTATCATAAAATGCATGCTTGTCAATAAAAAAATGATCACCGTTATATAAAAAACTTCAATAAAACGGCAATACACGCCTGACACTCCAACAACTCAATCCATCAAATCATCCATTCTTTAAACTAGAGTTTTTGTCAGTTAAAATTTAATTACTAATGTTAAATTTATATACTATTTATTTGCAAAAATGAAGTAAAAAAATCACATGTACTGTATTCTGTACTCTCCATAATTTATCGTTTGCCATCAGTATAGCCTATAGCAAAGTTGGAGGGTTGTGGTTTTATTTATATCATAACAACTAGTTGCATGTTTAAAACATTAACTCTGCGAAACGTTCACCAATTTGCAAATTGTAAAACGAGACCAAACATACTATAGCTTCGTCTCGCGTATATAAATTAAATAAATAGATTACTGATTTTTTCATTTCCAATATTTATTCAGAGCCACCAAATCTTTAAAATTCTTAAGTTTTTATCTGAAAGCACAAAAAATTTAACTTTTTAAACATTTGCCTATTGGGTGTGATGATGATTGTAGTGTCCAAACGAAATCGATCACCACTTACCATCTTTTATATGTATATACCGTCTTGTGAGTAAACTGTATAAGTGTAAATATATTATTACACGTGTAATTTGACATATCTTTTGTGCTTTCAGGTAAATTAATAACACGTACAATGCAGATCAAAAAGTTATTAAGTTTTTAAACACACCCTTGATTAGCATTGTTATTATAGTGGGTTCTCAATATTACAGAAATATAATAAAAATATGCATGGACTAACATTATTTAGACTTTATTTACAGTACATTAAAGTATGAGTGTAGATATAGGGAGTTGTGTTGGAAGACGTATATTTTTAATATACCTATTACTCAACATTATTGACAAAAGATCCGTTTTCTACATACTGTAGATCCTGTTTTTAATTAATTTTTACGCTGAAATTGCGGATGCAAAATTGAGATTAATTTAGTATGCTATAAGTAGAAAAAGATTACGATGTTCTAGGTATTCAAATTCTTAGCAAGCATTCCCCTGTAAGTGGTATTAGCAAGTATTGTCCAGCACTAAACGAATAAGTTAACACACTAAAAGAACATTGATTTTTCTTTGTAACAATATACATTTTCATCCTCTCCAGGACCAACCGATAGTTGCTCATTGGTATTAGACAACTGTCGAATATCATTCAATGGAGGAGAAAACCGTGTTGGTAAAATTGTTCAGGAGTTTTTTAAACACTGTATGTCAACTAACTTACAACAGTAAAATTAAATAATACAGTATAAAATGTAGTTTTTTTTTACTGCATATGCAAACTTTTCGCGACAGCGTTTATCTACATCAATTAAAACTATCGGTACCGCGCAGTTACATGGTATACTGATAACATCGTGTACACTGTCCGCAATACCATTATCTTACCGACTATCACACCATAATCACCGTTGCACAACTTAGTTTGCAGACACCATTGTACCGTACGCAGAATGTCATCTAATCGACGTTACAACATACTAAAACATCTAAACCATCTCGGCTTATATAAAAAACAGCTAAATCGCATCCGTAGAGTTGTCTAATCGATAAAAACGTATGAACATTGCTTATCGTTTTTAACCGATAACAGATTATTGGTGTTACCGTATCGGTACCGAAACCGACTAAATATTGCTGTTTGTCTTTAATCTGTGAAATATCGAGTATTGTACAGTGCTAGTGCATTGATAAGCGAAAAAAACCCGTCACCTCAAGATCATGAATTTTATCGATACAACATACAACTACTACATCGTGATTCCACCAGCAGCGGTTTTAAGATAAATGCATTCATAAAAATTGTTCAGATAAATTGTCGTATATGTACCAAAAGCATATTTAACACACCGCAACCATTGACTAGCCGCCACCGGCCGCCACTCACTTGTTGATGTTACAATAGCGTTGAACTCGCAGTAGTGCCAGCGTTACGAATGAATCGACCTAAAGTGTACCGAGATGCAACAGGTTACTTTCCGTACAATCGTATCGAGTCAAACCAATGACGACAATATCGCCAATATAATTGTAAATGTTGTTGGTGTTGTAAATTAGAGTGGCGTGTAGAAGGGGCGAGGGAAAAGCTCTCAAAACCCCTGAGAGTCACACCACTTTACTTTGTATCACGTATGGTATTAATCCAACGGCTATTAACTGCTGAGATGACTGTTCGAAATAATAAAATCGACGATGGTGGGGAAATGGTTCTTGTGTATAAGCAACACTTCAAATCACGATCCATACCGTGCATACAAATATAAACAATTGTGAATAGTTGTAAAGCATCTATGCAAAAAACCGACAGCAATATCACTTATCTATCAATAACTGTACGAGATAGCAATGTACTTACTGATATCAAATAACACCTATAATAACCGACTAAATAATCACCAGAACACTAATACTTGTACCGAGAACTTATTGATTACCGCCCACCAACGAAACAATAGCCGAACTACCAATATATACGCTTAGTTAGGGAACGTATCGGGTGGCTCCGGAGTAATTAGCGCAATTCAGGAATACCCGACTACCTAACTCAGGTCACTTGGCGCAATCAATGCCCACCCGAGGATAGCTTTTTCACTTGATTTATTTTTTAAAGGCATATTTTTTAGGTATTAAAAATGAAATGACTATCCCAACCCTACCCAACATGACCCAATTCGCATTTAAAGAGGTTAGTAGCAGCCAAGATATTTTACCCATAAAAACATGGATATCGTAATCGTATGGCAAACTACAAGTACAAACTCCTAAGCCAATCTACTTTTACCGAAATACCATTTCGAATACAATTTAGGTAACAAAACATCACAATCCACCACAATTTTGCATATATACTCGTAGCCGTAATAAAAAAAAACGTTGAATTGCGACATCGTATCAAACAAGCCAGTACAATATCTCCAAATAACCAGAATCGGTATTACTTTATCGATGATATCGTATTGACCCGACTACATCGCTATTCACCGATTCGACCACAGCCTCCCAAGGTCGACCAGCGCAAAGTCATCTCACTACACTGGGACATATCCGCAATTTAATTTCTGACTTTCCAACGTCTAGGGCTCCGCCCCACCACCTTCGGGTTTTCCACTACAGTTGGGTTTTTGAAAACTCCACATTTACCCGTAAACGATTCCTGGTTGTGATATTATACAGTTGTCAAACAAACGGTTTAACTATGTGTGTTCGAAGGACGAACGATAACAAGAATGCAATCTATATAAAGCGGTTGTTTCCGGTTTGGTGTTCAGTGTAATCAGTTAATAACACACGTAGACACATTGTTAGTGTTTATGTCAATCCTTGATGAATATATACCTTTTTGTACGGAGGTTAGATCCTTTTTTCATTCGACCAATAGGCATTTTGTTTGAGTCAGTCTGTAAATTAAAAACACAAGTTGTATTAGACATTGTTTGCCTTGCCAGACGTCGGGTTAGTTTTGAATCATGCTTCTTTTTAGTGAAATTCCCTTAGTTAGTAATTGCAGAGAGGAATATCTAGAGACTACACTGAAGTGGTACCTTTCTCTGTAGTAATTGATCCGTTTTTTCGTCAAACAAAAATTCCAATATTAAATATTAAAAAGTACTTTATTTAGTTATTCACCAAACACACCAAATTTGTAAACTTTGGTTCACTATTGTGCATTATAAAAAATCACGCAATATATTTACACCGTTTTTACACATAGTTCCGTGGCATAGTAGTAGTTAGTCGGTTTTGTGTTTAGTGCATTACAAAGTATTTAGTTTTGTTTTATGAATGAATATAAATCAAATGTATTTATGAATGAAATGGAACAAGGCATTTGATGAACCCAGTAATGATCACCCATAAATGATGGTAGCAGTTTTATAATTAAAAGTGGGTTTTGCATTCCAAGCAATTCATTTTTTGTTCGTAAACGTGACTAACTTTTTAAAACCAGAATTTGCACTTATAGTTATCAGGTAATTTACCTTAAAAACTAATAAAACAAGGGTCCTTGGAGTCTAGCGGCCATCTTGGATAATTTCAAACCGCTGCTGAAGAGCTATTTATCGTCCAAAAATAGGTTTTCAAATGTCAAAGTGATTGTGATTTAAATATCTAGTAAACTGTGCGATTAGAAATGTTCTTTGTAATTTTGAATTGTTCTCCGAGGGAGTCCATGGAAGCTAATGGCCATCTTGGATTTGCCCGCCAAAAAATCAATGTTAATTTCGTTAATTTCAAACAGCCGCTGAAGAGTTATTAACCGTCCAAAAATATTTTTTAAACAACAGAGTGATTGTAATTTAAATTTCTAGTATACTATGGGATTCGAAATTTTCTTTGTAGCTCTTTAATTGTTTTATGAGTTAGAAAGTCTAGGCTCCAAGAACTCTAATTTTTCGTAATTATATGCAACGCGTTTGTATTTTAGCTTTAATTATACACATGTACAGTTTGAATGTACATCAATCACGATTACAACAATCTCTTTACTGTCCAACGACCATCACTTCAGCTGCAACCAGCAGTATTTTCATTGAATCGAACGAACCTCTCATCTTAAAATTCTGCAAGACATTAATTAGACAAACAAAAACACTGATACAACATTTACCCAAGATCACGAGTTGGACAAACTCAAACCGATTCCCTTAACATCGCCGTGCGCTTCGTCAACGGTAACCTCAAAAACATACTGACACGATCCGGAAGCTGGAATGTCCTTCACGAGCATCAACCGCAGGTAAATTAGAATGCGAGGTACGGCAAAGATTGGTCAAGGTGGAGGGGTTTCGTGGTAACCGTCCTAGTCTCGTAGGCCAGGTAGCACGTGTATACGCTTATACTTTAACGTTGCTTTCGTCTAGTGATTCATAGATGCACTGAAAAGCGCCGTTGTTTTGTCTGCGTACAGCCACAGTCTACCAATCTACCTCAGTATTCTGTGGTGCGGTGCCGTGGATTTTCCCAACACCCCTCGCCCAACGTCAGGACTTTCCAATAGAGACTTGATTTGCAGCGACTCATAATGTACTCATAATGTAATTCGTACTGCGTATGTACTACGTGGAAATAAACTATTCTGTATTTGTAAAAGAGTATAACGTTTAATTTTCATTTAACGTATTTTAATTATTAATTTACAGTCGTATGTGACTTTTTAAAGATTTTTAAAATCGTCTGGCGTTTTATTGCACTTCAGTTGTTTGTCCGTATACAAAGATATACTAGGTTTATTTTTCATCGGTAGATTGTTAACCACTTTTTTTATTTTTCGACTAAAATTCAAAACAATTCCTAAACTGTTGCTACGCTTTGAAACACTTCTACTCTTTAGGATAACACAAACTTCTACTGGAGTTTTATACGTCAGGCAAAATAAGAAAATAAGTAAAATAAATAATAGTATAAAATATTAACATAGAAAATGTAGTTAACTAATGTAGTAACCCCAACGTAAAATGTTATTAACTTATTCATATTTCAACCCAGCATTTAACATTTTAGAATCATAAACCTCTGCGACTGGTGTAGATTTTCATTAGTAATTTTACAAAAGAAGATACAGTGAGTAACTCGAGTATAAATAATGAAGCATTTCTAATAACTACAGAACTACCAACATTAATCAAGGATTCAAAACCTCTCCAAACTCTAATTGCGTCAGTTTTCGTAATTATTAAACGGAGAATAGAGGAAAATCTAAATTAATCAAATCTATAAAGCGGTATTCAACCGATTCAGAAATTATGTAATTATCACCATAAAATGCATGTTATAATATAAACAATGTTCACTGAGCTATGAATATCAAGTAGCATATTGTGTTAACTAGAAAAACTTCAAACCAATAACTTAACGTTGTGTATCAACTTTAATCGTCATAACTAATTAAATAGGTCGACGAATTCAATCTTGAATTATAAATCTTGAATTATTCAATCTTATTATAAAAGACAAGCACAATAAAAAAAGACACAGCAATCAAATTAAAATTATAAAGCAATTAAAGTCCTTGTGAACAATATTCGCTAACTTTAGAAAATATTCCGTCTGCCGGAACCACAAAGTTAAAGAAACATTTAAACTGAGAGGGTCATAACATTTAAGCCTACATTGTTTTAGAAACTTCGTTTTAAACATACTATGGTTTTATCATTACGTGCTGATATGATAAATTGGATATAATATTATGTAGATTAAAAATTTATCATCGTATGGTTTTGTTTTAGGGAGATCCCAAAGGAGAAAAATTGTATTACCTTTTTATTAATGTGAGAAATGTGGAAAGTTTTTCGAGTGCAGCAAAGGCACTTTGCGCTCGCGTTACACATTATATTTTTCCTACTGTTACCAAAAAGCATATAAATAATCGCAGCTGATCGTAGTCATAGTATAGAATAAATAAATACCATCTATATTACTTCATCTATGGTCGTAGTATCTTTAAGTGTTGTCAATTATTTTTCAAATTATTTTCAAGCGTACACTTATTACGTACATAAAAGCACACTGTTTTGTGTTGTTTGGATGGAATACTGGAGTGCGGCAAAAAAATGAGCAAGGCAAAAAAAGAGTGCGGCTAAAGTAAGTAAATGCAGCAATTAGATTCTTTGCGTGCTATATCAGTGCAAGGAAGCCAAGGAAGCCCATCTTCGTCAGGTAACTGTAGGAAAAATTTGTTGTCCCATTTTTGCACCCTTGTACAGTATAATGTAAAATATCACAGATGAAAGTAATTTTAAAAGGCATTTCAATTTGCATGCCTATTCTATTCAAAGTTCGTTTCTCTGTTTTTGTTTTCCTCTCTCACTATTTTAATCTTCCGCCAGTGAGATTCGCAAGAACGTCTGAATAACCATGTTTGCTGCATCCTCTTTTACTTTTCCTCATATAATCAACTTAGGTGGTATACATTTATTGAAGTTTTCTTTGTTCGTAATCATCACTTTCCTTTCTAAAAAAAAAAAAAAAAAAAAAAAACAACTTGTAATTCATTAGCGTGATGTTTATATTTTGTTGCATTTTTTTCTTCCTTTTATTGTCTTGTTTACAACTGTGTAATAGACGTTCATTATGTACCGTTTAAAAATTCTAAATATTAAGGATTTTATATAGTGGATTGTAAATCTTAGTTTGAAATATAGCTGGGTTTATTTGCAAAAATAGCTTGTTGCAAAATTTCAATGCAAGGGTTTTTTCACAAGTATAATTTGTAACATAATAAGCGTGTGCTTCGGTTAATTCTACCAATAATAAGTTTTAGAGTCACGCTGTTTTTTTTTATTTTTGCAATGATGCCGACTTACTTCAGCACAATGATGTGTGGTTTGAGCAGTGTAAAGCTAAGTAAAACAATGAGATCAGAACAAAACGAAAGAACAATAATAATCAGCTACGGAGTCTACGATACACTAGTGAACTTGACTTGTGCACCCGGCACTACTGAAAGATTGCGACCTAACTCTGTATACAGTGTCTGCGTCTGCAGTCAAAATGTGGATCAGCTGTTTTGGTGCAAAGAATCAACTGTAGATCCTACATATCCTGAAGTTACTAGGTTAGCAAAATGGTAAATTATACACTATTCCCCTGGCTTTAAGAATATTTCGTAGCAGATTTCTTCTATGTAGCATCAGTAAGAAGTAGATCGCATAGAAAACAAACTACTGGATTGCATAGAAGCTGTGTACATCCAAACTCATTTAATGCACTAGGATGAGGGTGGACCTAAAAATGCATTTTCAAACAGAGTTCGTTTATGGACCCATTTAGGATTTGACTTTAAGTTGTTTCCACCACAATTTAAAATGGTTGGTCCTAAAGAGGCACGATGTTCACTTACATGATTCATATATCCATAACCTTACTACCATTGGAATGATGAAAACATCTGATAACTATAAACGTGGTTTATCTGCTTCATTTTCGCCATTAGGAAGTAATACAGAGTGTTTTTGTAACGCACAACCCAAATTAAAAGTACTGTGAGACACATTTTATTGACAAAACAAACTTATATTTGGGTATCCCTGTTTTCTTTAATTCATTGTCGATCAGCTGATATGCGTTGTTGCATAGTTTTCTATAAGATTTAGTGTTACACTATAGGGAATTTATTGTAAATAAGACAATTGGGGTTTCCCCAATCTCGAAGAGTTAGAATAATAAGTTTCAATTAAATAATTTGTTTTATGCCAAGAAAGGTTTGAGATTAAGTTTCCAGGTGCGATTTCAGTTCCTAATAAAACAAACTATTGTTGACATTTACAAATTTAAGAAAAGCGAATCAGAATTTAAGAAAAACTCAAATTTTTAGATTTAAGTGAAAATCAAATGACGCAATTGGAAATTCGCTTAGTTCACAGGCTTGCTGAAACGGATTATTTTATTTTACTACGGA